AAAAGGAAATATTACACTTTCACTGGTATAACAGACCAGGAACGGGAAGATGCTACAATTTGTTGGATATGCGAGAATGATTTTTCCGACAATGATCAAGTGGTACTTGATCATTGCCATTACACCAACAAGTTCCTGGGTTGGGCACACAATGAGTGTAACGTTAATAGAAAAACAACAAATTACATTCCAGTGGTAGCTCATAATTTGTCAAATTATGATGTACACTTTATAATCAAAGCGCCAGCAAAAAGCGATTCGGAAAACACTTTTTCCTTAATACCCGCATCTGAAGAAAAATATATATCCTTGACAATCTCAGTCTACATAAAAACGTACACTGGCACTACCTTACCCTACATAAAAACGGAAAAATCAAAAAACTCTACGAAAATCTGAGACTCATCGATTCGTATAGGTTCATGCTAGCATCATTGGCAAAATTTGTCGATAATTTGCCCAACGAAAAGTTTTTTCTGCTGGAGAACTATTTTGAAAAACTCGGCCACTCACGTGAAAAAGTCACTATGTTGAAACAGAAAGGGCATTACCCCTACTCATACTTCAACTCATTTGAAAAATTCCGAGAAACTCGCCTTCCCCCACGAGCAATGTGGAAAAATAGTCTACCAGGAGGGGATGTGAGTGTTTCAAGAAGCGAGTACAATCATGCCCTTAAAGTTTTCACCGAACTGAAGTGTGGCTCACTTGGTGATTACCACGACTTGTACTTGACTACAGATGTGCTATTGCTTGCTTCCGTTTTCGAAGCTTTTCGTGAAGTTTGCTATCAAACATACGGGCTGGATTGCGCCTGTTACTTCACGGCAAGTAACCTTTCCGGGGACGCCTTTCTAAAAGTTTGTAAGCCCGAACAGAAACTCTTAACGGACCGTGAACATCTAGACCTTGTGCAGCGAATGATACGAGGAGGCATGTCGTCGGTTTACGCGCGCCGATTTTACAAAGCAAACATTAAATACCTCGACAACTTTTCGCTCTCAGAACCATCAAGCTACATCTTCAATATTGATGCAAACAATTTTTACGGGGGGATAATGAAACACTGCCCTTTGCCCTTAAACGATTTTTCAATAGTTGAAAAAAGTCTGGCAGACATACTGCTCACCAGCGAAACCTCAGAGTGGGGTTATATAGTTGAAGTCAATTTAACCATACCCGAAGAGCTTCACGACTTCTTTGCTGATTACCCCTTGCCCCCTCTCGTGAAGTAGTGGACATCAGTGCAATGAGCAACGAGCAAGTCGACATGTTGGGAAAATTGGGAATCACCACCCTGCCAAAAGTGCCAAAGCTTCTACAGGCCTTGCATCCTAAAGAAAGTTATGTTTTGCACTACCTTACCCTAAAATTGTACCATGAGCTAGGAATGAAAATAACTCACCTAGGAAAAGTTCTTCAGTTCCGCCAAAGTCACTGGATGGCACCCTTTGTCGACCTCAACACCCGCCTACGAAAAGCCGCGGTAAATAAATTCCAGGAGAACTTCTACAAGCTAATTGTTAATTCAGCTTTCGGTAAGACAATGGAGTCTAAGTTAGGAAGAAAGAAGCTGGAGATTGTAAGGAATGAGAGAGAACTTTTACAAAAAACAGCTCTGAGCACTATGAAAAGCTTTCAAATCATTGACGATCAATTAGCCACAATCAGCTTTTCAGTAACAAAAATATTGTGGGACAAACCTATGATAGTTGGTGCAACCATACTAGACCTCGCCAAGCGTTTCATGTTTCAGTTTCATTATCAAAAAATGAAACCAAATCTAAACTTGGAACTACTTTACTCCGACACGGATAGTTTTATTTATGCCATAAAAACTGATGACGTTTACCGAGACTTGGAGAAAATAAAAGCTGATTTCGACTTTTCAAATTACAATGAGGACCATTTCCTGTTCGAGGATACCAACAAGAAAGTTGTGCTGAAGTTCAAAGACGAGACTGGTGGAAAGCCGATCAGAGAATCCATCGCCCTAAAACCGAAACTATATTCGGTCGTCCTTTATGGTAAATAAAATTTAAGCAACCCTTCCACCCCCATTCCTACCTTTTACAGAACAAAATTACCACTACCAACCCCCCTAACCCCCTTAATATTTGCATTAAACTATGGGCATTTAGCTGATTTAGGCAACATTATACAATATTGCCTAAACGTTGATTTATCTGACAACATATTCCCTCTCTTTTCCTCTTTTTTTAATCATAATTTAGAGTCTTCAGCTCTTTTTTGGTAAAACGAATGAAATTTTGTTCCGTATAAACTAAGTTGCTGAAGTGAAATGAAACTATCCCCTGCGTTGTAGAAAAGAATAAAAGATTTGCTTCTGTTTAGAAGGCACCCAAAAATTGAGTACCAAAGGAATTAAACGGAGTGCACAGAGAGAACTGATCCACCAAACCTTCAGGGACACATTATTCACTGGAAAAACAATGAGAGTGTACAACTATAATATAGTTTCGAAAGGTCACACCAATATGACAGTGAAACAAAACAAACTTGCGTTATCACCATTCGGCTCAAAACGTTTTCTACTTTTCGACGGAATTTCGGCAGTGCCCTTTGGCCATAAAGCCGCTGAAGAAAATGCTCTTCTAGAAGACATTTACATGGACACCGAGTGGGCCAACTCATACAATGAAACTGATAACAGTTCTCCCGATTTTCAACTTCCAGATTGGGGATTTTTACAGCGGTCCTACTCAGAAACAGAGCTGCAAGAAGAAGAAGCTTCTAGTAGCCGAATCCATGAACATCCCCCTATAAGTAACCCATTTATTTTATCTGAAGCTTCATAAGAACGACCACCTAAAAAACAGCGCAATGAAAACCAAAACAATAAACTTTAAATTCTGAAACATATATTTTTAGATGATTTTTACTCCTTTTCATACTTCGACTTGTATATGTTTTGGTTTTTACCAATTTACAACTTAAAAAATACTCGTATTGAGCTCAATCACTGTTTTATTATAAATAGCTTCAGGCAAATAAACTAGTTGACGCAAACCAAGTGTTAATTCAAACAAATGTGTGAAATCCTTAGGCTCGTTTCAATAACAAACTTTACTAGCATGACAAATCTTTGACGAAAAGAAAAAAAGCCAGGAAATGATATCCATATGAAACTAGGACGAAAAAAAGTTCAGGAATTAGGACGATTAATTTTAATTATTGCGGGAAAAGGGACCGCTTTAAAAGGAATTAGAAGGAATTATTGTATCGTGTCCCCGGTTGTTGAGCTCAGCTTAACAAGATCCTAAGGAGGGGGTCTTTTACTTTAGGGGTGGGAACTTGCGATCATTTACAAAATCCTAGGATAGGGGTCCTCCAAAAAATTAAGGACCCCTTTTCTAGGATTTTGCTTTACGTGAGGACCCCCCCCCCCCCCCTTAGGAAGGACCCCCCACCCCTTAGGATCCGGGACACGATACAATACTACTAATGTTGTAAATAATTTTAAAATATTTTCCAGATTTTTTTCTCAACAAGACGCAAAAGGAAGCTACAAAAACCAAAATGCTGGATCAAAACTAATTTTCGTGTCTTTTCTAAGTAATAGAAGCCTGCGCGCTCGCTTTAGTTGCTCGAAATAGACCAAAATCAAAAATTAAAACGGTTTATCTCTACACTGCGGAAATTTTTTTAATAAGGTTCGAAGCAAAACTGTCAAGATTTCAATATTGTATATCACTCGAGCTCGTACGAAAATTTTGTGTGTTACCTTATTTTATGCCTAAACCTCAATGTAAAAAAAAACTAAAAACATTGAATACAATGTTCCTCCCCACTTTCAGTGGTCGTAACTAAAATTAGGGTGCAAGCGAGGTAGAGTTTGAAACAGCGTGGAATAAAGTTTTTGTTGCGCGGGCTGGGGGTGAGAGAATTTCATGTTGGACAGTGCATATTAACCAAAAAATATATTTCCAGTGCTATTCTAAAACTAAAAACCAGGCCAAAAAATTTGGAAATATTAGATAAAAAAACTGCCGAAAAAACTGCATTTTGGTGGGTTTTGGCCAGTAAGCTGCCCAAAAAGTTTCTCTAGAGGGTTTTCATAATGTGTTGGGAGCGTTTGGAAAATTGATTAGGTTAACCTAAAAATAAAACAACTATAGCCGGTTGCTGTGCAAGTAGCACCAAAAAGCATCGATCATATTCATAAAAAAACAACACACATAAAGTTTCTTCTTTTCTCTTTCCAAATTGGAACTGTTGTTTGTACGCTTTGTGATGAAAAAACTAAATAAACTAGTTGAAAATTAGCGAGTTAGGCATAATTGAATTCATTTGTCCGAAAAATGAATAACAAACAAAAAAAATGAAGAAAAAAATAGATAAAAAAAACAAAAAAAAAAATAATAGTTTTCGTTTGTAGTAAAATCAAATTTTCTTAGCCTAATATTTTTATGTAACGAAAGTTCTACACGCTAGAAATTAGACTGAAACTAGAAAACTACTACCCGTTTTTTCTCGATTCTAGGAAAAGTTTTTGAAAGTTTTTAAAATTAATTCAAACTAAAGCTCATAGTGCCTGAATGTGACTTATCACTCGACCCAGTCCGATGATCATTTGTGATACCTAACTAATCGTGAAAAAAATAAAACTCACTCGATCCAAAGTTCTTTCCCATTTTCAATAGTCGGAACAAAAACAGACACTAACTTCGAGAGAATCCTAAATCCGCGTTTTGACCAAAAAGTTGCGTTATTTTGCTTGAGCTTTTTTCGAATATTTGGTGAAACGCAGAAAAAACTTCCATTTGGTTGTCTCCGTGCCACTAATGCATGCGGTTTTCAATGTTGCATTTAGAAAAAAATCAGGATTGGTCGCTAGAAAATTGAGGTCATAAAAATAATTCCAAAAAAGGGCCCTTTGTGTGGTCAGGGGTAGAATAGCTGGAAAGGAGCGTCTCCCCCTCCCAGCCTTCCCCATGAGCTAATGTGGGGTGTGACCAAAAAGGCTATGAAAATCCAACCTGTTGCTCCAGCGAAGCTCGAAGTCTGTCTCAAAACAAGGCTCAACTTCCTCCCACTTCTAAACGTCGTAATATAGTCATCGGGATCAAAACATGAAACTGCCTGAAGTTCGCCGAAGTTTATCTTATTTCCCGTTGCGTTTACAGTCATTGCGAAGAGTCTGAAAACGTCTTCGAAGTACTCTATGCTTCGGTCTAGGGGCCACACGGTGCTAGTACGAGGATGACGTAACATAACGCATACATGTCATAACATACGCATTTTTGGTGAGTTTTCGTTCCAGTCGAGCTATGACTTTTTATCTGAACTACGTAAACTTGAGCAAGTTGGTTATCTGAATCTTCGGGAAAAAAATGGTCATGGAATTATATGGTGTGACATGTATACTATATGAGGCGTCACCTTGTCGGAGGGTACGGTTCCTCCGTGTCAAAATCAGTGACGTAGCGGCGTTTGCGAGAAATCAAGAGGGTTCTCGTCTCGTTTCGTTTTATCTTCAGATCCGATGTTCTCAATTCTTGGTTGGCGACTATCCAATTGTACGCTTTTCCTATTAAAAAACGTAGGTTTTATATACTATCTATATTAACATTTTAGTAGTAGCATTACAAAAGAGCACCAGTTCTTTTTTAAAGAACAAAAAACTTTTGCACAGTCTTTGATAGTAGCAAGAATGACTCAAACAAAATTGAAAAAAAGTCGCTGGGTAGGTGCTCTGGATGGTTTTTAACACCACCACCATTTTTGTCGATGACTAATTAGTCTCATTTTGTAAAACGTTGCCATTGGTGAGCCGACATAAGAACATATTCATCCGAAAATTGACTGGCTATATCCGGATAAAACAAACTTGATGCAAACTTTGAGGGGGAAAGTTGATGCAAACACCGCTGCTTGCTCTTGTTAAAATGTGTCAACCTCTTTTCAAAGTGCACCAGTTTTGTCACTATTTCTGTCGCCCGGTGAGATGTCAAAAAACTACGTTTTTTTTTAAAACAAAAATTATTTCCTATAGGATGGTTAACGTAGAATCATTGGCAGTTTGCAGGCTTGAATAGGATGCGTTAAGCCAAAAAAAATTATAAGAAACTTTAAAGAGTCTTCAGTTTAATTTGCAAACTCAAGTCGTTTGTGTATTTATTGTAAGAGTCTAATTTAAAAGAAACGTGGACAAAAGTTCCTGTTGCTCGTGTTTAGTAAAAAAACACTTTGGGCCACTTTTGAGGTAACAGCTGCTAAAATTATCGGTATATCACTTGTTTACTATTTTTCTACTTCTGATTAACTTTACACATACTTCCAGAATTTTGAAATTTTTGGTATCAAAAATATTAAATTGAAACTGTTTTTTATGATCTATTTTCTGAAATTGAGCCTTCGAGTTCAAAGGGCCAGCCAACTCAATCTTAATTTTTTAAAAGTTAATAATAACTTTTTTGTATTTTGTTTCTACCTAACGTTGCATGACAAAATTTATTGGGACCATTAGAATCGAGAAGCGTTATGCTGTGCTTGCGAATGAATAATAGTTTAAATCTATCATTTTCAACAGCACGTTTTTTTCAACAACAATTTGCACCTTTTTAACAACAGTTATTTTTGATGTTTCAATAGAAATGAGAAAACTGGATGATTATTTATATTCATCTGAAAAAAGTGTAAATTAAATTAGGTATTTAAGGCCGACTGACCTTTGACCTGTCTCTGTTCGGCTAGTGCTAGTATCTTGCCAGTGTTGACTCTGCAGGCGAGGATGATGAAATTGAAGAACTCCCCGTCCTCGATGATGTCATCAAAGCGACGCCCGAGAAAGTCCACCTGTTGCAATACCAGAACAACATTTGAGAAATTATAATAATATAATTTTATGTGGACATGTAACAGTTGATTGGATTGTTCGAAGTTATAATGAAGTGACATTATAAAGAAAAACAAAAAGTTTGAGCATGAATCAGGAAACTGGACAAAAAAAGTAAAATTACATTGTCGCATTAGTTAATTATTGCTGATAGTTTCGACCCGGAGCGGACCTAGGTTGTTCTAGATGGGGGTGGGGGGGGGGGGGCGTACTTTCTTCAAAAGATTTCAAAATTAAATGGCTTGCTTCTTTTAGGTCCACCAAGGTGGTTTTTCGAGTTCTCTTAAAATATAATAAAAACCCTGTTTTGGATAAAAAGTCTTTTTTGACAACTTTTGCTGACAAATTTTTGAAAGTACAGGCCAAAAGGGCCGTTTTTGGGCATTTTTCGTAAGATATTTTTAAACCAAAAGTTGTTTAATTTCTAAAATTTTGTTTATGATTTTACCTGTGAAGAAGCTGATGTTTTTCTGTGATCTCCAGTTTGGAAAAACATCTTCACTTCGTGGAACCGGATGTCTTTGGAGTAATCTTGGATCCTGGAAAAAGTTGCCAACAAGAGTCGTAGCACAGGGATCGATGCATTTTTTGGCTCTAAGCCATCTGATAGGAGCTTGAAACAGCTGGAAGGTATTGTTTTTGCGATAATTGTAAAGAGAGAAAATATTATGGATGACGTTATTAAAATTAACTTTTCACTGAATTTGAATTCTTTTTTTGTTTCATGATACGCTTATTTTTGAACGCGAAGCAAAAGTCGTGCAATTATAAGTCGTATTAAAATAATCAAAATAATATGAAAAAACATATAGTATAGAAATTACCTAGGTTTCATAATTCATTAAAATCTGAGCAAAATTTGAGTTAATTTTTGGGCGTGGAGAAATTTAAATATAAATTTTTTTTTATTAAGTCTACATTACCATTTCTATTCAAAATATAAATGGTAAAAGAAGTTAATATAAAAGTTGAAGTTAATATAAAACTATTAACTTCAGCTTTGGTTGCCTCCAAAAAAAAACTAGCGAGCATCCAGAAGTGTTTCGATACTAAGTTTAGCATGACCCTCATTCTAGATTTAATGGAGTATACAGAAATCTTATCTCTACTAATCGATATTTTAAAATTTTTTTTCTGCAGAATTTGTCTAATTCGTTCTGATTTATTTGTTCATTTTGATCCCTTGATGGACAAAGGTTTTTAACACATTGCATTGATTTATTGCCAATTTATAGATATGCAATTTTTTACTGCGTAAAATAACTTCTTCTGTCGCGTTTGAATTAATGACTAAATAGCTGTTTAAACTCTGATTAACTAGGAGTATACGATTAACAAGTGTAGCTATTCATTCAAATTTCAGGTACTTCCTTTTTCTGTAAAAAAACTCTAGAAAGTATTCATTTTAAAATTAAATTGTTGAAGAACTAACTAATTTTTTTTCAAAAATAAATCTATACGAGCATTTATACACCGGAGTTTTTTTATATTTCCAATTTGTACCAAATTATTTTAAACAAAAGCTCAGAATTAAATTTTTAGAGAAAAAAAGATGAATTTGGCTCATCTGTGTTTAAATTCAATTCATTCTGAGCATATTGAATTTTTCTTATTGTTCCGACTTTTTTAACCAAAGAAATGGAAAATTTGTGCTCAGGGCGGGTGTTTTCTCTTCAGACAAATTTCGACTTTTTAACTAGCCATTTTTGACGGAATTTTTAAAATATCATTCAAAAGGTATTGTTGTACTGAGCTTAAATTTGAAACGATAATTCAACTGTGATCATTTTTTGTAAAGTTATGGGGGTTTTAAGATTGCCATTTTGGCCAATTTGGGACAATTAACGCGCGATATATTTCACGCTATTAACGCGTGAGCGGAGAGTTAATCCGTCTTAGAAATCGTTCCAAATTGGTTGAAGGAAGCTTATTTGCCTTAAATGATTTGTTACATGAAGCGAAATCTATCATATTGTATTTTATATGGCGTGTGAGTGAATGGTTTTCAAAAAAAATTAAAAAAAAAATTCAAATCATTTTATTACATTAAAACTTTTCATGTTATTTTTTATTCCATAGACCTTAAAAGGCAGTCAGAACATTCAAGGCTTCGCCCTGATACGAGCAGTCTTGTTGTTCCAACTTTCGAAAGTAACGGAATGTTTGTGCTCGGGGTGGGTTTTTTTTTCTTCAGACAAACTTCGACTTTTTAACTAGCCATTTTTGTCTGAGTTTTTTTACATCATTCGAAAGGTATTGTTGTCCTGAGCTCAAATTTGAAAAGATATTTCGATTGTGATCATTTTTCGTAAAGTTATGCGGGTTTAAACGTTGCCATTTTGGCCATTTTGACCAATTTGGGACATTTAGCGCGCGATATATTTCGCGCTACTATCGCGTAAGCGGAGATTTAATCCGTCTTAGAAATCGTTCCAAATTGGTTGAAAGAAGCTTATTTGCCATAATTGGTTTGTTTTAAGGAACAAAATCTATCCTTTTGTACTTTAAATGGCGTGTGGGGGGATGATTTTCATAAAAAATTTCAAATTAAAAAAAAATTCATTTAATTTTATTCCATTAATTTTTTTAAATGTTATTACTGCTCCATAAACCTTAAAAGGCAGTCGGAACATTCAGGGCTTCACCCTGATACGAGCAGTCTTGTTTTATTTGATTTTGATTTCTTCTCTGTTTAAATAACAGTGTATTCTGCGTATAAAATTATTTTTGAGGGTGTCGCCACAAGTGATGCCATCAATCTGAGCGATGAAGGAAAAAAAGCTCGATTTTGAGCTCTGGGGACTCTTAACTCACATTTTGTCAAGTGGATTTCTTCTTATTTGTGAAATGAAAATGATTCCTGTTCGACAAATATGAATTTCTGTTCTAGTAGACGGATCCCCCCAGCCATAACACTTAAACATTTCAACAAAAGGTCATCATAGCTCACTTTTTTTCCAATGGATAAAATTACTCTGAGTGCTCTCAGGCTAAATTCCCAATTTGTTGTAATCTTGTCAAATTATGATAATAAAGCATTAACTGTACCATGTCTATTTTGAAAGTCATACTGATGTGGCGACACAACGTTCATTTTGGCTAAATTAGTTATATTTGTAAACCTAGTTCGTTTCTCTTTTTTCCAATGACTGGCAGAAGAGATATTGGTCTATATTTTGACGGAATTTTCAGTGCGTCTTCTTTGTGCAGTGCTATTATTTCCCCAACTTTGTGACAATTGGAAAAACTTGGTCATCATAATTTTTTGTATTAGCTTGGTAAGGTTGGAGTGATTATCTGCTTTTTTTAAAGAAAAAAATATGTAGGTTGTGCAAAATTAGACTGTTTTAATTTCAATGTTTTCAGAATAATTTAGAATTCGTGGTCGAAAATTGAGCTCAAAAACATTGACGGCAGTTGGTTTTTTGTTTTGTTTTTCCGCGATGCTGCTTTGAACTTCAATGCCAATTTTTGCCTACAATTCTTAAGAATTCGTTAAAACTATCATTTGGACTATAGGTCGATGGATTTGTTAAATCTCCTTTTTTATGGAATGGTACTAATTTGGCAATTTTGAGGCAATTTGGAAAAACTTGTGATTCCGTTCTAAACTCGAATGCCAATTTTTACCTATACTCTTCAAAAGTGGTTGAAATTCTCTTTTGGTCCATAGTTTGACGGATTTCTTAATTTTCCTTTTTTTTGCAGAAGCACTCGTCTAAAAAACGTGAAAAAAAAACTGGGAAATCATGGTCATAAAAAACTAATAATTTAGCTTGTTAAGTAACGCAGTGATTGGTCTGCTTATTTGATTCAAGAAAAAATTATTAATTTTATAACATTCTAGACTGTATTTTAATTTCATTGATTTCAAATAGTTTTCAAGTTCTTGGTCAGATTTTGGGCTTAAAAACATTGAATGCAGTCCATATTTTTCTGCAGTTTTTCTGTAACTCAATGCCATTTTTTCGCTTGTACTACCAATAAATTCATTGAAATTTTCAATAAATCTCTAGTTCGACGGATTTTGTAGTTTTCTTTCTTGATGGAATGGTACTTATTTGAAAACTCGAGGCAACTTGAGAAAACCTGGTCTTTAAAAATTTCTTGTATTAGCTTGGTAAGAGTCGGAGTGATTGTTCTGCTTGTAAGTTTTTGTAAGCTAATCATTTTTTTAGGTTTTGTGAAAAGACGGTTTCGATGTATGAATTAAATGTCTTGTTAATAAGCAAACCGTAGTTCAGAAAGTAAGTCGGAGACAATAAGATAGCTGTCATCCGAAGGTGACAGACAAACTCCGAAGGTTAAATACCGGTTAGCGCCAGACAGATAATTGAAATAGATAACACGACTAGAATTGAAACATGAACTAAATTTAGATACTATGACATTTCCCTCCTTGTAATAAATAATACTCAAATCCAATATCCAATATCTATGTTAACCGTAAACAATAGGGTTAATAACAAGTTTTCAAATCAAGTTTTTCAAATCAACTACAGTTCTTTTAAACACAAACTTTTGAGTTTTTGCTGGTACACAGCATGCCCTCTCCCTGGACCTCCCCATTTTAGCAAAGATTTATAGATTGTTTTGAACTCCATTTTATTCATCATCTTTTCACTCTTTTTCTTCGATTGCTCCGGCTTTGTCCGTTTTTCTAATGTTGTCAATCATGACCCCCCCCCCCATCTTGGTCACTGCGGTCCGCTTCCTGCCCGAACGTCTCGAGCTTGTTTCATCCAACGAGCTGGCCGAATCTTGGCTAGAATAGGAAACAAGTCGTTGTTTCCGGCCCCGTTTCTTTCCCCCGGTTACTGATATATGCTCTGGTTCGCGCTCCGTTTCTTGTGGTTCGATTCCTTCGGTATTTGTTTCTTGTGGTTCTGCTCCTTCGATATTTGTTCTCCCCCAGTCATTTCCGATTCCTGTTTCACCTGCCAACGTGTCTCCTTTTTCCGTCTCCTTATTACTGGGACAAACCCCGATGACCTCTGGTTGAACTGAATCCCGTCCCCCACTAGATGTTCCCTGTCCATCTTCTCCATCGTTTTCTCGCCCTCTTGTTGGTTTCGCCACTAGGATGGTTGTACTCAGTGGTAATTGGTCCTCCGATTCTGAGTCGGAATTTTCTGCGGATTCCAGAATTTGGAATTTTGCTCCCTTTCCCATGATGTTGTGCTGACTTTCCTTAGTGCCTTTTGAGCGGCCTGGTTGGTTTTGTCTCAATTTTAGCTTCCTTTTCAGATCCCACGGCGTTGGTGGTGTAGGTAATGGTCCTCCCGGCACCCGCTTTTTCGGAACTTTGGCCTTCCTGAGCGCTACTCCTGATTTCCTAAGCACCGCACCGTTACTCATTTTAATAGTATGTTCAGTTTGATCAACTATTTTGGACTTTAATGGTCTATACCTATTCATGTTCCGCTCCCCGGTCCTCTGCATTACCACTGCCGGTGGTACCTCCACAGGGTCGTTTGGTGCCCGTGCAATCCCAGGCTCATCATCTTGGTTAGCTGCCTGTTCCTCGGCCAATCTTAGT